TTTACCACTGGCGCCACGTGGGAAGCCCTCAGAATCACCCAGAGGAGCTGTTCCCTCTGTAGCTTAACTGGCTCCATCTCTCAAGGTTGGGCCTGAGAGGGAATCTTGGGGGTCGGGGTCCCTCCGCACTTCTCCAGCAAGCCTCGAGGTGACCCTGGAGCAGAGGTTCGTGCTATGTTAGGGTTGTGGGGTTCTCCTCCTCAAACGTGTGTTAGAATCCCCAGGAGGATGGGTTAGGGTGTGAATCGTTGGATCCTAGCCTTCGAGGTTCTGAGTTGGTGGCTTGGGATGGCCCTGGAGCTTTTGTAGTTCTAGTAAGTTCTCAAGTGATGCTGAACCTGCTTGTTCAGGGACCACACTTTGAGAAACGTCAAGTTACAGAATAGGCTCGAACTGTCTGCTTCTCCTCGGTTCTCCTTTCTCGGAAGGGAGCTTCTGTTGACAGTCGGGGAGCAGACACTCCTTCAGGTCTGTGCATAATGCAGCCCCCCAGCACCCTTCTCAGCTCTGCACCCCACCCCTCGTCTCGGCGGGGAAACAGCCACAGAAACGTGGCTGGAACATGATGTGCCTCATCAGCGAGAATGCAGTTTGACGAGCCTTATTAAAAAGACAACATTACTGCAAAATGATTTAAGTGCTTCATTTGCAAAGGAGCCGAAGAGGAGATGAGGAGCCTCTAGACGCCGGCTATAAATATTCTTCAAGCGTGCAGGATCGGCCTGCATGCCCAGTGGGGTTTGCATTTCCACAGGGAAGCAGTCCAACTGGGTGGGAGCACCAGGGAGGCTGCAGGAGCACAAGGCGGTGCCTGAGAGCGGGGTGGTGTCTTCTCTCTGGAATATGTACAGAACCTCATTTATGGCAAAAGACGGAGGCCCATGTGTACCGCTGTCTGGCCTCATTAGCCCAAGAAGTTTCACTTCTGGGTGAAAAATCGCTGAGGGAACCAGCGGGGCGCAGCAGGGACTGGAGATCTAGAGCAGACATGCATTAGCGGAGCCCTGAGCGAGGTGGCTCCCGATGGCCGTGACTCTCCACCAGCAGGGTGGGCAAGGGGCGTGACTCCCTGGGGGCCACGTGGGCAGACGGCCCCCGAACCGGGACCTCGCCCCAGGTCTCCTGGCACCTGGTTCTGTGCTCTAGTGCAGCGCCAGGCTTCTGTGGGGACGGGATGTTGGAGCCCCCTCGTCCCCAGGGAATGAAACAGCCTGGTTTCTTCCCTGACTCGGGATGTTAGGGTCTCTTGAGCCTTCACTGGGGGGCCACAGGGGAGGGTGTCCTCCTGGCGGATGGGGACTGCAGAGGCTCTCTGGACGCTGGGCGGGTGTGTTCAAGGATGACCACGGCGGGCTGAGCCCAGGACCCGCAGAGGAAGGCACGGCAGGAAAGTCTGCTGTCTGTGCCTCCGCGCCCCCAGAGGAGAAAAGGGGCCATTGTCTCCTCTCTACCTTTTTTCTCTGCTGATGTTTTTCATTTTCTGTTTCAGTCACTCAGTGTGAAGGGGATGGGGGCTTTCTTTTGCGTAGGGGTCCATAAGGCTCCCTTTGGCTTCAGTCTCGGTCTTACCTCGCCGCTGACCTGCACTCGCTGGCCATTCCCCATCACCTCCCTTAGCCACGTGTCCTGGTCTGTTCCAGAATGACTACCCCCAGGGGCCTGGGGGCAGGGGATCGAGCTGGACGGGGGATGCCAGACAGGAAACAGCATCTGGACAGAGGTCCAGCCAGGACCCCGAGTTGAGCTGCCTGGGTGGAACTGCCTCTGAGACCAATCAGCTCTGATCTGAGCAACTTGTTCCACCTCTCACAGCCACCGTATCTTGTTCTGTGTGAGCAAGCGACAGAAACACCCTCCTCGTGAGGCTTCTGTGCCCAGGGGTCACGTGTGTGTTCACAGCGGCGGACGAGTGTGAGCTGTTTCTCATTCTAGGGCTTAAATAAACAGATCATTTTGGTTGAGAAAAGCACAGGGAGAGAGGGAAAGGGTGCTGTTTGCTCTCTGCAGGGCAGGTGGTTTGGGGTCCAGGGGCCCTCAAGCCTAAGAGCCAAGGACACAGTTGGGCCAAGAATGTGGGTGCTCCACACGTGGCTTCCTTCCCTCCCCAGCAGCAGAGTCTCCGAAGGCAGGTCTGGCAGGCAGTAGGTGCTTGCATCGCGCAGGGCCGGTGACCGTGACAGCCCAGGGCCCCCCGTGTGCTCGGCAGTTAAGGTCCTTCACAGCCCCGTAACCCACGGTTCCCCCGCAGTCTGGTGTCTGTGCAGGAGGCGTGGAATGTTATTTCTGTTTGACTGTGAAACGTACAGCAGATTCATTCATTTCCGTCTCCGTCTCTCTGGCAGACCCTTGGAGTCGTTGTGCCTGAGTAGAAAGAGGGTTTCTGATGATTCAGCCAAGCAGTGGATCCAGGGAGGATCCCAGAATAATTCCTGGTTAATTGGTCCTAGTGTGGTCTGCACAAGGCCGTCCTGGGTTTGCAGCCTGGCTCTCATTAAACTGGTCTTCCTTTTGCACTCACCTGCTAGCTCTGGGTGTGGTGCCCACCCCTCACCTCAAGGACAGAGCCTCTGGACCCGTGTGAAGGAAGAGGGCTTTGTGGGGATGGGAACGGTCAGAGGCTCCTGTCTCTGAGAAAAGCAGCTGTTGTTTCCTCAATTTGGAAAGATGAATTGTCCTTTGAGCTCCAGACTTGGGGTCTGCGGAATTCAAAATTAATGCATTAAATTAATTTTGTGCTCTCTTTGCTCAGTCCGATTAGCACAAATTGAATTTCATACTAAATGGTTAAGGCAGAGAGAACACTCTCCTGGTGTTTGGTATCCATGCTGATGGCAGGGATGGGGGCATTTCGGGGTGTGATCCGGGGTGCTTCTGGAGAACACTGGCCTGCAGTCGGTGCCACTGCAAGAGATCACTTTTCCAGCTTGAGTGCCTTTACGCACCCCAGTGGCTCAGGCAGTAAAGAATCCACCTGCAATGCAAGAGACCTGGGTTCGATCCCTGCGTCAGGAAGATCCTGAATGGGTCTGGCAACCCACTCCATTGTTCTTGCCTGTAAAGTCCCAATATTCTTGCCTATAAAAACTTGAGAGTCCCTTGAACTGCAAGGAGATCAAACTAGGCAATTCTAAAGGAAATCAGTCCTGAATATTCACTAGAAGGAATGATGCTGAAGCTGAAACTCCAGTACTTTGGTCACCTGATGCGAAGAACTGACTCACTGGAAAAGACCCTGATGCTGGGAAAGATCAAAGGCAGGAGGAGAAGGGGACAACAGAGGATGAGGTGGTTGGATGGCATCACTGACTCGATGGACATGAGTTTGAGCAAGCTCCAGGAGATGGTGATGGACAGGGGAAGCCTGGCATGCTGGAGTCCGTGGAGTTGCAAAGAGACAGACATGACTGAGTGACTGAACTGAACTGAAAGTCCCGTGGACAGGGGAGTCTGGCAGACTGCAGTCCATGGGGTCACAAAGAGTTGAACACCACTGAGCGACTTCCGCTTTACTTTAAGTCTGACCCACTTAGGACCAAATGAGGCTAAAATTAGGAGGTGATCCTAGCCTCTCCTATGGTGGTAACACATGAATTTTACTGTGCTGAAGAATCACCCCGGACCGTATTGATTCCTGGGATGGCCAGGAGGACAGGAGACATCACCTAATTCAGAGCATTTTGTAGCTCGGGTGACCACAGCCCCAGAGAGGAAGAAGCTCGTCCCAGGTCACACAGTGCGAGAGTTGTTGTGTCTGAACTTGACCCTGTGCCTTGCCTCTGTGTTTTTTTCTTTTCTCCCCTCCATCTGGACTTTAACCGCTGCCTCACACAAGCATAGCCCCAGTTTCATGAGACTCTGCTGTGCGGCATCATTTCTGCCCTTCTTGGTCATGAACTGTCCACTTGTATGTTTTTTTTTTCTCACTCTACTTGGCATATCCTTGAACCCAGAAGGCTGTATTTGAAACAATAAGACCACAAAAGCACTGACTCACTTGGTGTTTCCCATTTATTTGGGGGGGAAAAAGCCACTGCAAGTGGAATTCATTTAAAAAATAAACATTTTTATTTTTAGCCTAAAACATGTCTGCCTCAGCTCACTGAGGTGGGACCAAAAACTCAAGATCTACTTCTTCTTTAAACCACACCACTCACACGCAACTACATGATTTCCAGTTTCGATTTCTTTAAAGCAGAGCAAATGGCAAAGGAATTCGAATGCAGAAGCCTACACTTTGTACTTGGAGTTTTTCCTTTATAGTTTTTGCACTTAAACCTATATGACACAATATTAAGAAGCAACTCACTTGTATTCATTGCCTCCAAAGCATTCAGCCTAGTTTTCCTGGGAACTCTTGGCCCGGTCACATCTTACAGGTTTATGTAGTAGCTAATAGAATAGGTAATTGCATAAAAGTGTGTGAGGCATAAACAGGTTGGGAGCACACACAGCGTGACCACATGGCTGAAACCTGGCAGAGGCAGGCGGGCCCCGGGGAACCATCGAGAGGTTTCCTGGCCGAGAGCATCCATGGAGAGTGGGCATCTATGAGTGTGTGTCTTACCAAGGAAGCTTGTTGTTTGGTCAAGTGAAATGACTTCCTGAAGGATAGCTAAGGAGAGTTTCTACTCGAATAATTGTTTTTTAATTGAGCATTTACCATGTGCTTGGCACTGTGCTAAGCTCTGTGTGGATTATCACACTTAATTCTCAAAACAATTCTCTTTGCTGTCCCCTTCCTTACTGAAGTGGAGATAACTGAGTGTCAAAGAGGCATCCTGTGTGGCTTAGAGCCACACAGTGAGTGAGTGCTGGGCCAGGAATTCTAACCCCCAGGACCAGTAACATCCGACACCGTGCTGCTAACCACCTTATTACGCTGCAGGGTTGCCTTGCGATAAGACCTAGTATCAGTGTGAGGATGGTCCCATGGAGCATGGACGGGGGGAGAAGGGTTGGCAGCCCTGACAAGTAACTCTGCCTTAACCCTCCCCCTCCAGATCGCTGAGCTGACCACAGAGCTGGCCGATGAGTGCTTCAAAGGGGACGTGGCCTGCCAGGTGCTGGAGAGTGAGCGGGCAGAGCGGCTGCGGGCCTCTCGGGAGGTCCAGGAGCTAAAGGCGAGTGGTCGGGAGCTCTGGGGATGCGAGTGCCCGAGAAGAGTGGCCGGGAGGCTCGGGCCTGCCCTTCTCTGCTCATATCTGGGATGCACAGGCTCACTGACTCCCATGCTGGGAATCCTGGAGGACATCCGAGTCTTCTTAAGTCTTGGCCTTGGAGGTGTCCTGGGTGAGGATTGTGGGGGTGGGGGTGGGGATAGGGGCCAGTCCTGGTTTGAAAGCACCTTGGGTGAGATGGCCACTGTCTTAGGTCCAGTTTGAAACCTCGAGGCTTCTCTTCCAGAGCAAGTATGAGCAAGTCCAGAAGAATCTGGGAGAAGTGGAGAAGCGGTTGGAGGAAGCCCAGCAGAAAATTCAGTTGAATGATTTAGAGAGGAGTCACACTGGAGGAGGTGAGTCCTTGGGAACCATGGAGTCAGACACTGGTGGGAAAAGCTCTCCTTTTTTTCATTCATTCATTCATTCACACATATGGAGCACTTACAATGCTCTAGATGCTGCATTAGGGGCTGAGACGTTGTCAGAGAAAACAGGAACAGATCTTGCCTTCTCAGGTGTACAGTCCAGTGGAAGAGGCAGGCATTAAACAGATAACCCAACAATATCTAAGGTAATAAATTACCAATGTGACAGGTGCTGTTTATTAATAATGCAAAGAATGATTTGAAAAATAGTGGTTCTATAGATGGGTAGTTCAGTTCAGTCTCTCAGTCGTGTCCGACTCTTTGAGACTCCATGGACTGCAACGTGTCAAGCTTCCCCGTCCTTCTCCGTCTCCTGCAGCTTGCTCAGACTCATGTCCATCAAGTTGGTGATGCTGTCCAACCATCTCATCCTCTGTCATCCCCTGGAGATGGGCAAGGCACCCTTATATTTAAGAATCTTTTTTATGAGTTATTTTAATATAAATTTTTGGGCTTTCCTGATAGATCAGTTGGTAGAGAATCTGCCTGCAATGCAGGAGACCTGGGTTCAATCCTTGGTTTAGAGAGGTTCCCTGGAGAAGGGAAAGCTACCCACTCCAGTATTCTGGCCTGGAGAATTCCATGGACTGTATAGTCCATGCAGTCGCAAAGAGTTGGACATGATACAAGACTTTGACCTTCATAATATAAATTTTTATTAAATTCCAGTGAGCAAGGGTTATTGGAAGAGATCCTGATGCTGGGAAAGATTGAAAGCAGGAGAAGGGTGCGACAGAGGTTGAGATGATTGGATGGCATCACCAACTCAACGGACATGAGTTCGAGCGAACTCCAGGAGATGGTGAAGGACAGGGAAGCCTGGTGTGTTGCAGTCCATGGGGTCACAGAGAGTCAGACACGACTGAGCGACTGAACAACAATATAAGTTTTGAGGAACTCAGTTCAGTGGTTAAGAAGTGAAAGCTATAAAATCACATTTCTGAATTCGAATCTAGACTCTGTTACTTTGGTCAAAGGAATTATCGCGCCTTGGTTTCCTCATCTTTCATATGGCTGTAGACAGAGATGATGAATGGGAGGTGTTTAGCCACACGTATGGTACAGAATGATGAACAGCTGTTGCTCACTTTATTATTATTTCTAGTAGCACTAATAGTGGTGCCCTTATTCCTGCTCATCACCTGTGGAGCAGGGACTACTCCTGGCCCTATTTGAAAGTGATGTCAGGCACTTGGTTAGCAGTTAGAGTGAACTGCCCAGTGAGAGATGTGCTCAGTGGTGCCAGGGATTCCTGGTGGTGCCCGTCTTGGTCGCCTGGAGACACATCTCACGGCTGGATGGGCAGGAGGCATCCTTATCATCTCCTCTCCCCAGTCGGAACTAGTCAGCTGAGGAGGGTTCCCGGCATGTCTGTCAGCCTTTATAAAATGTAGACATCATTCCTCTAGTGCCCCCAGAGAATCGATGCCCTAGAAACGTCAGGGACATTCAGAGGGGCTGAGGTCAGGAGGTGGTGGAGGAGGGGAAGGCACGTTGGCTTCCTACTCCGCTCCTGTCATCCTCTCATCCCAGCTACCCGCAGGGCAGGCGTTTGCCAGGGAGGTTCATCCTGAGGAGGCTGAGACTCTCGGGTACCCGAGCCCCAACAAGGTGGGGCCCACTCAGAGGGAAGGGAACCTGTTTTCCCAGAACCGGCACAGGTTCCCCAGAAGAACATCAGCCCCGGTTCCATCCTGATGGTGATTTATGTCTGAACGATGCTCCCCGGCCATTTGTCTTCCTGTGCAGAGATACGGGAGTCGGCCGAGGGGGAAATGAGCTGAGCTCAGGAGCACATTAGTCACAGTGCTGCGCAGGCTTTCAGCTCAGGACACTTATTCCAGGAAGCCAATCCACAAATATTTTGTTTTTGATTATCAAAGTAGTACATACTCATTATAGAAAATGTCTAAGACATAGGAAAGTTGAAAGAAGCAATAAAACACTTTAATCACACCACTGCAGTGCCGCCATAACCTCCCCTATGGATCAAGCTGGAGTAGAAATTATTGAAAATATATATGTTTTCTCACTATGCATGGTGAAATCTTTAAAGAGAACCTTTCATGGAATGTAATCAGCACTGAGCTGGACTCTGGGGCGAGGGTTGTAGAAGAATTTTAGTTGGGCCTTGCTGTCCAGAAACTTGCAATGTCAGTGGGAGGTCAGGGAAGCCCAGGAAAATGGTACTGGAAAATGGAGGGCTCACTGATGTGTATGTGAAGAATGGCGCCCACGGGGAAGGAGGCTGGAGGCGGAACTCGGCCTGGAGGAGTGGAGCAGGTCCTCAGCTGTCTGTGGCGCCCACTCACACCCCTCTCTGGAGCGCAGAGCACACGGGCCACCCCAGAAATCCTTTCTGCTGCCCTTTCCTTTTTGAAGCTGTGCCATTTGCCAATTGAGATTGTTTTTTTCCTGGTGGAGACATAGGATTCCTTTCCTACCATGTTATCATTTACCCTGATGGAAATTTGAAGAAGCTTTAACTTTTTACAATTATATCATCCTTCTGTTTGGGTTAGTTATGTGAGAATCACCCCCGACAAGACCTCAGTCCTGCCATCCATCTGTCCATCTATCCATTCACTCACCCAGCCACCTCTGCAGTGAAAGTTATGGAGCATTTATTGATATACTAGGCATTATAGTAAGTCCTGTGGATGTGGATACAGTCGTGAACAAAACAGAGTTTGCTTCCCTCATGAGTTTGAATCCTCTTCTGAACCTCCTTAAGTTCCTTTATAAGAGTCCTGGTCATGCTTCGTTTAAGCTGACTTTACACATTTGTCTCCACAAGTGGATTCTTCTGGAAGATAGAATGGTTTCTTATTCATGATCTCTTGTGCCTGGTGTGGAGTAGTGTGAGTATTTGGTTGGATGGAAGGTAGATGGAAAAATGGATGATGGATGGATGGATGGATGGATGATGGATGGATGGATAGATGATGGATAGGTGGATGGATGGATAGACGATGGGTGGATGATGGATAGAGGGATGTTGGGTGGATGAATGGATGATGGATGGATGATAGGTGGGTGGATGGATGGGTGATGGGTGGATGGGTGGTGGATGGATGGTGGGTGGATGATGGATAGATGGATGATAGAAGGATGGATGTTGGGAGGATGGATGGATGGATGGATGGATGGATGGATGGATGGGTGATGTTTGGATGGATGATGGATGGATGGTCTGTATCTTAAACTGTCCATTTGTACAATGTTTTCCATGTCTCTATTACCTTAAATGTTACTCTTTTATTCAATCAGAAAACAAGCTATCGCAACCTAGTGTGCCTGTTCTATTCAGTGAGTTTTCATCTCTACCAGCAAATGACTTTTTTTTTTGAGAATTTTACCAAATCAAGGGATTGTTCAGTTATTACACAGAGACGTGCTGTGACCAGTATCTCTGTTGCTCTTCACATAGTAGGCACTTTGATTATTGCTCATTGACTTGTTAATTAATTCAACCATCACTGATGATGTACCCTGTCACCCAATGCAGATGGCCAGCTGGTAAACTTGTTTTACCACACAGGGGAAACTTCCATGTGTAGGGGACCCTTCTGAGGGTGTGGAGAACCCACAAATGTATAAAACAGCTCCTCTACCCTCAAACATTATGGAATTCCCACAGGGTGAATGTATACGCACACATGTAGAGAAATTGAGCACTGTAAATGACCAAGCTTAAAATAGTGAGCGGTAAGTAATGTCCAACACCTGGAGGTAGTCAAGGAAGGCTGCCTGGAGGAAGTGGTGTTAAGCTTGGACTTAATGTGGGATTTCCAGATCCTGCGCCTAGGGTTGAACATCAGGAATTCTGTTAACACTGTGAAATTGTGCACAAAGAGCTAAGGATCGGAGGGAACTACCCCGTTCACCGAGTGTCCTCACAGGTCTCTCTGACTCTCTTAAACAGCAGATGAGTGGCAGATGCGCTTCGACTGTGCTCAGATGGAGAACGAGTTCCTCAGGAAGCGTCTCCAACAGTCGGAGGAGAGACTGGAGTCGGAGCTGGCATCTAGGAATGAGCTGGAGCAGAAGGTAAAGGGGGAAGGTAGTCTGGGTCATCAAGGTCACAGAAATAGGGCAGGGTCTCACCTACCTCATCTAGGTGTTGACTGAACGCAAAAGGGAGAGAGGGCATCACCTGTTTCGCGTGTTTCCACCTCCACTGACGTCACACACGCAGGTTGCTGTGGGATGTGGGCAGTAGGTCTCCTCTTTGTCACAGTGTCTGTCAAGGTCTAGTTTTCTAGTTGAGTTGTTTGTTTTCTGATTTTCTTGTATATTTTGGATAATTTCTTTATCAAGTATATCTTTTGCAAGTGTTTTCTCCCTGTCGTTTTTCATTCTTTTGACTGTGTCTTTTGCAGAGTGGAAATGTTTAGTTTTAATAAAATCCAGCTTATAAATTCTCTCTCATGGGCCATGCCTCTGGTCTCATATCTAAACAGGCATTGCCCAATCCAAGGGCATCAAGGTTTTCTGCTATGTTACCTTCCAGGAGCTCTGTAGTTTTGCATTTTATATTTACATCTGTGATCCATTCTGAGTTAATTTTTGTGTAAAATCTGTGTCTAATTTTTTTTTTTTTGCTTGTAAATAACCAGTTGTTTCAGCAACACTTGTCAAAGAGCCCTCACTATATAGCATTTGCCCCTTTGTAAAGGATCGACCAACGGCATTTCTGTGGGTCTGTTTCTGGACTCTATTCGGTTCCATTGTGCTGTTTTTTTTTCCCCTCCTTCAAGAAAGGCTTATTCTTTCTTACCTCTCTGCATATGTTCTCTCCTTTTCCTTGAACACTCTCTTCCCTACCTAAATATCTCCAACAAACATTACAATCTCAGCTTAAATATTCTCCCCCCCACCCCAGGAAGTCTTCCCTGACACAGATTGGGGGGGCGGGTTGCCCCTGATTTATTTCCCCAGATATAAGCCTCATTATGCTGTATTGTTATTATCTGCTTACTTCTTGGTGTCCCCCAGTAGAGGTAAGCACCGTAAAAGTTGAGGTCGTATTTCCTGGCCCATTATTATTTATGTATCTCCTCACTGTGAGCAAAAAGTATCATGAAGTCATCCTGCGGAAGTGGGCCAGGGTGAGATCTCGTGGGATTTTATAAACAGCGGATGTGAGGCTCCCTGGCGATGGTTTTAGCGGTCACTTTCAAGGTGGACGTTGTATCGTGATCTTCAGGAGGAGACAACCAGGCTGTAGATAACCAGCCAAGGGACAGCCGCCCAGGAACAGCCCAGTTCTTTCATAACAAATCATCAAGTCGGGTCAGCCTCCCCAAGGAAGGAGGGATATTCATGCTACATTAAAAAGTAATAAAACTGCAACCTTTTTCTGAGCAGCGGAATATAAGAAAACATCCCATTTGCCTTCAAATACTGAATTTAGAATTACAGGCTTCATTAACTCGGTGTTTTGCTTATTTAAAGCAATTCTTTAATGAGCCCATTTCTTCAAAGTGAGTGTGCCAAGTCGCCCTCTCTCCCAGATCTAAACTAGGACATTTGGGAGGGTGTTTCCTGGAGGAAGATGCGAGAGCCGTGGCTTTTCTGTTTGTTTGCAGCCGCGTGCGTTCCTATGTGAGTCAGTCCATCTAAAGTGCCATTCACTGCCCTGCCCTGGAGAGCCTGTCCCATGGGCCTCCTGGTCAGAATTCCTCTGAACTGTTCTGGCTGCTTCTCGGCTGGTCCACACACATCTCCCAGATGAGGCAGCCGACGGGGGTATCAATTATACATGGTCCTCCAGGGGCTGTCGAGTTGGGCAGGGCATGTTCAGAATCTGCTGGCCGGAAGAGTATTGAAGAAAATTAAAATCCCCCAGAGAATCATAGACGCCCCTCCCTCCCCCCATATTACTGAAGCTCAGAGAAATAGCTGCCCACACTGGTGCAGGTGGCAAGTGGTCTGGACCAGGTCTCTCCGCCCAGAGCCTGATCTCTTCCTCTTGGACTCACACTGGGAGTGGCAGCTGCTTCAGCTGGGAAGTAGGGGGCCCGTTCAGTGCCCATGGGGCGGGCTGACTCCTTCTGCTCCTCCCACAGCTGAGGGAACTGCAGAGGGCCTACGAGGAGGCCCAGAGGACGGCCCAGCAGCTCAAGAGGAGGTGCCACCTTCTGACCTGCGACCTGGAGGACACGCGCTTCCTGCTGGAGAGCCAGCAGAGTCGGAACCACGACTTGGAGAGGAAGCAGAAGAAGTGAGTCGTGACCTGCGCGCTCGGGTGGGCTGCCTGGGCACTGGGTTCTCCGGATTCTCTCTGAAAGCCCATCCCTCCAGTCAGGGCTCTCCATCCCTGGAGCTCAGCCTCCCTGCTCTGCCCTAACCCTCCCCATCCCTTCCCATCCCTCCCCACACGTTGCTATTTGGTTCTCCCAAGAATGCAGCAAGAAATCGTTCTTCTCTGTTATCCAGTCTCAGCTCTACCGCCAGCTGCCCACGTAAGCTTGGGGGGGCTATCTTGGCCTCTCTGGGCCTCAGCATCCCCACTGAAAGTGAAGGGTTTGTTGTGGAGGCAGAGTCGGCCTAGCCTGCTGGGTAGGGATCCAGTGCTGTTTCAAGTCCCAGCTGTGCCTCTTTTCCAGCTGTGTGACCTTGGACAAGTTCTTCAGCCCTTCTCGGCTGATTCCGTTCCTCAGGTGGAGCGCCCTCTTGTGGTGAAGCTGGGTGACGCAGTCGGTAGATCCCGCGCAGGACTAGGGTCTGGTTCCCACCCCCACTGGTGAAAATGGGGAGGCGGCCAAAAACCTGAGTCACTGCCCTCCCCATTTAAAGCTAAGACGCTCAGCTCCTGTGGGAAGTTCCGGCAGGGTCTGGGCTCTGCATGAATAAGATGCCAGTCTTGACTCCGCACACTGCTTCAGGCGCTTGCTTTCCCCATGGGTGGAGCCTAGATTGGCGCTCAGTTCTCCCTCACAAGCCTCCGTACGTGGAACCTCATATCCTGGGATGCCTTCGTCCCTGGACTCCTTGGCTGTGTCTGAAGTTCTTCAGCTCACCTGGTGAGGGTAACGCTGTGCAGGGGCCCTGTTCTGAGCCAGACAAGGCCTACTGGAGACTTCCTAGGAGGCGAATAGATGAAACTTAGCTTCTTTTAGAAGGTCCCAGCTGAAAACACAGAAAAACCTTGCTCTGTGCCAGGACGTGGTTTTTGCCAAGAACGCCTTTTTTCCAAGAGATAGCCAGCCGAATTGCATTTTCATGGGAGTGGTACCGGTTTTGAATTTGATCTGCATTAAATATTGTTTCTCTCATTTATCTTTGAGCTTTCCTGAACTGGCTTCTTCATTAAAAAAAAAAAAAAATTTCTTTGGTGGGTTATTAGTATGCCTCCCCAGATGAGAGAAGTTTGTTCTTTTCTGGCTCGTAGCTGACTCTTGTTTCCTTTTCCACCTTCCCATGCATGCTCTGGCTACACCTTGTCCTTGCAGCAGGGAAGATGGCTTAGTCCCACCTCAGTCGTTTCCTGTGTGACCTTGTCAGGTAACACTACCTCTCTGAGCCAGACAGTGACTGATGTTTTAGAGGTGTCCTCGAACTTAAGCAGACCACCTGGTGCTAAAGACTGGCTCCGAGAGATGCCGTCTGCAAATCGAGAGTTGGAACTCCATCATGGCGAAGGTTTCTGCCGGCTGTGACAATCCTGGCCCTTATCTGTGGGTTCTATCCTGTTCTGAGAGCCCTTAACGAGGATTTTAGCTTCCTGATGGGTGGCAGGAGGGCTCTGCCCTTGGAGTCTATGCAGCCAGAAAAGTCCATCTCTCTGGTGTTTGCCGTGACCACCCACCTTGCACAGAATCCTTCATTCCAGATAATGGCCCCCGGAGGGTTCCCATTTCACCGTACTTGCATCTCTTCTTAAAGCTCACCTGCCCTGTGATGCAGAAGGACTCCTCTACTCCCTGATCATCTCTTGGCAGAAGTTAGCTTATGTTTTGATGCTAATTGCAAATAGCAGCCATTACCTTTCTAGGTGGATTAGCGTTTTAGCTGGCAGCCCATGAGCAGGTAGAAGTCTCTCGTGGTGGAAATTCAGGTAGCATGCCTATAGTGAGGGAGAGATGGAGAAGTTAGCCATACTTCCTCACACCTCTTCATGTTTAATCAAAGGGTCGATGCAGCGCCTCCGTAGTTGGCTGGGCTCTGGGTGGAGGGATGTCTCCATGCTGTTGAGGTTCCCTGCCCCTACCTTGGCCTCTCAGTTCAGAGTGGCCCGGTTGCCACGGTTACTCACGGGTCACAAAGCTCAGTTCCGCCGATGTAGCTGCCCTCGGGGTAAGGCTTGTGCTGGAGCAGTGGGAGGCTGGACCCCTGGCCCGCTCCTAGAGGGGTGAAGGCTGTGAGTGAGTTCATCTGGCCTCAGACAGTTGGTCAGACAGTGTGTTCCAAGAGTTAGGGTCTGTTGGAGGCATCCCCTGGCATCCAGTGGCCCAGAAGGACTCCTTGAAGACGTCCGTCACTGTCTGGCCTCCACTGTCGTCCCCTGCTTGCTGCAGCCCCGAGCAGGTGGCTGGTGGACCTCCTTAGTCAGCAGAGAGGCTGGCTCAGACCCGCTTCAGGGACCTCTGAACTTCAGTCTTCTCTTCTGCAAAATGGCTATGATGTGTTTCCTGCTGAATTGCTAGGAGGACTGCATGGAACCCAGCTCAGAGCAGGCGCTTTGAAACTGTCGGACAGTTACCATCATCACAATGTTACCATTCAGAGGCAGCCAATAGCAGCTCTCGGATGACGTCACCAGGAGAAAATCGGAAAGCCCCTGGGCCCTTCCGACAGCAGAGGCTCCCTCATGTGACCCGCAGTTGACTTTCTTTGCAGTCTTGAGGCTTTGACTGACCATCTGCCATTGAGGGACGTTGGATGATCTTGTAACAAGGGAGACCTTCTTCTCACCAAGGCTGAAACCTCGCACCCAGCTCAGCCACTCTGGCCACACCCAGTTCCCTGGAGCAGGTGGCCAAAGCCACATCTTACTGACCAAAGTCCCGTCTTCCTGAGGCTTGGCAGAGCCTTCTGCAGGTTTCCTCACCTGTGAGAGGGACAGAAGCTGAAAGAGCCGTGTGAAATGACACCCAGTCCAGGAAGTGCCTCTCACCCAGCGCTCACTATTGTGGAGGGGCAGGTGGGCTCCAGATGAGGTGTTTCCTGATCCCCTGACGGCACCCGCAGGGCCGTCTGGTCCCTGTGGTTTTTCTGCTTAGGAACCAAATGCGGACACGATGGAATGGATAACTGTCTCACGTTCTATCAGTAATAACCATGCTCTGAAACAGCTGATGCGCACGTGAGCCCCAAGTACCCTGTACAACATGAAATACTGATTGTCCCTTGTTTGTGCTGGTAAACACATTCATTCACTGATCAACGAATATTAAACACCAGCCTGGGCCTTGTAGAGTTCAAGGTCTGACATATGTTGGCAAACCTGATAGATTAGCTTTTCCTATATATCTAGTTTTTTTGTTCTTATACTCTATTTATATAGTTTTGTTCTATTTTTAATTTTGCTTATTTTTTTAATCATATTTTAAATAAGCGTTTGGTATTTTTCTGGAAACCAGAAACCCTCAAAGTCGCCCTCTGGTGTTCAGTATTCCTACCCCATATCCACAAGCCCTCCATCATCTGATACTGTCTGTCTGTCTCTAGAGGTTCTTGACAAGCTAACGGCCTCTCTCCAGTCCCACCCCTGCCCTGCCCCAGGCGCACCCCCCACCCCCGGGTGCCATGACCCGTGTTCTGCTTGGACAGGTTTGACGCGCAGCTGGCCCAGGCCCTGGGGGAGTGCGTGTTTGAGAAGGGCCTCCGCGAGAAAGTGGCCCAGGAGAACAGCAGCACCCGGTGTGAGCTGGGCAGGCTTCAGCAGCTCCTGAAGGTGAGGGTGGGGGCGCAGTGCCACCCGGGCTGTCTGTCGCTGGGTCTCAGGAAACCCCTCGCGCACCCCCACTGCACGTGGTGCCGGGAGAGAGCTCCGTGTGTGACTGTCCTGCTCTGCCAGCCCGCCAGAGTCACGGAGCCCAGCGTGCCTGCATCAGCAAATCGTGGGTGGCAGGTGGTGGATAAGCAGGCCTTGCTAGCTCCATGTCCCTCACGGTCTTGCTCCAGGCACCTGCCAGAGTTCCGAGGTGCCCACCTGGGTGCCCATCTGGCACAGCGGAGTTAGCTGTAGACCCAGGTAGGGGCAGGGCCTGCCCCTTGCAGGCTGCAGCTCAGAGGGATTTTATTTAAATGGGACACAGGCACCTCACCTCACTCAGCTGCTCCTCAGCCTGCTGTGGCTCCCCGTTACCCTGGGAGAGCCTCTGAGCCTGGCGTGCAGCCCCCTCATGGTCATGCCCAGATTTCCGATCTTCTAACCTGGAAGAGTAATTTCTGGCCACTTTGCTTCCCGGCTCCAACATCTCCGGCCCAGCCTCGGCAGGTGCACAGCTTTCAGATGGGGAAAATACCTCCTGTTTGCTCTTTGAGGTATAACTCTAGAGCCAGGGTGTTGCTTTCCACCGACTCCCCACTCGTGCCTGTCTGAGCTGTCCCAGGAGGGCCCTCGGGGTCCCACAGGGGGCACAGTGAGGGGCTGCAAGGCCCAGGTGGCAGGGCAGCTCTGAAAAGTGGAAAGCGCCCTCCCACCGGTTTTAGAGGTGTCCTCGGGGTGGGGGAGGGGTGGGGAGAGTGGTCACGTGACCCTGGATCCCCGCCCACTTTGTCTCCGCAGCAAAAGGAGCAGGAAAGCTTGCAGCTGAAGCAGGAGGTGGAGATGCTGCAGGCCCAGAAGCAGGAGCTGCTGAGGTCACCCTCTCTGGGGGAGAACTGCATTGCAGGCTTGAAGGAGAGACTCTGGAAGCTGGAATCCAGCGCCCTGGAGCACGAGAAAGTCCAGAACCAGCAGGAAAACACCATCAAGCAGCTGGAGCAGGTGGGAAAGTCCTGTCCAGAGCGATGCCCTGCCCCAGAAGGGCTGGAAGGTTGTGATTAAATTCACCACCTCACTCAGCTGCTCCTCATTCTTCTGTGGCTCCCTATTACCCCAGAGAACCTCAGAACCCCTAGGCCTGACACTCAGACCCCTCATGGAGCCCCCCTCCTACCATCCTGCAAGCGTCATCGTCACCTCCTCCAGGAAGCTCACCCTTATCTCCTTCTCGAAAACAGTCCCACCCCAACTCCACATTCACTTTCTCTCACCTTCACAGCACCTACCATCATATGCAACAGTGTTTTCCAAAATGTGCTCAATGCTTTTCTCCCCATTAAGTATGTGTTTTATGGAGGTGGGAGGACTTTTTGGTTGACCTTGCTTATTAGGGCATCCCCTGATGAGGCCAGGTACATAGCTGGTACTCAATAAATAACTGTCGATCCTATGTCTGGTACTCAGTCCTAAAGCTCTCCTCACATATCATCTCATAAATCTCCACATGAAATCTATATGCTGAGTTTTCCTCCACTCTACAGATGTGGAAGCCGAGGCTCAGAAATAGAAAAAGCGGCAGGGATGGGATTTGGAGCCTGCGCCCTCTGATGCCGCAGTGCCTCACACACCTGTGTGTGCACAGCCTCCAGGGAGGTGGGAGCCCTGATCTTTGGAAAATGCAGAGTAAGTGGAATAAGGCAGGACTCCAGATTCCATGGAGAAGGGAATGGCTACCCACTCGAGTATTCTTGCCTGGAGAACTTCACGGACAGAGGAGCCTGGCAGACCATGGTCCATAGAGTCACAAAGAGTCAGACACAGCTGAGCGATGGACACACACATACCCTGAGACTCTGTTGCCAGCCCCCTCGATGAAGCACCTGATGAATGTTCTGTTTGTCTGCTTGTTTGTTCATATGCCCCAGTCATTCCACAGAGAAGTCAAGGGATCTTATAAGATGGATGTGTGGTAAAATAGAAAAAGAAATAAGCCAAACTAGAAAAACACAACTTAAAACCAGTGCTAAGGAAGAGTGAATTAATATGCAGACACGCAGAACATACACTCACACACTCGGTAGTTTTAGCTTTCAAATTCCTGGTGGCCAGAGAGAAAAGGGCAGTGTGACTTACATGCTTTTTATCATCCCCAAGATAAAAATAAGCCAAGTTTTCAAGGAGAAGCAAGCCTTCTCTTGATGCTTAGTTCTAAAGCAGTTTCTTACATGGGACTTCAGAAGGGGTAATTATTTTGAAATGGTTTTACGATTGGAACTCCTTTTTCAAGACTATCTGACCAGCCAGCATGAATACATAAAGCAGATAAACTCTGAGCTGCTCTGGTGAAGGCAGGTGGGGGAGTGGGGGTGGTTGGGGATAGGCCCAGTTGCTGGCCTTACTTCTCACTCATCCTCGCTCCACCTGGATGGAATCTGCTGAGCATTGAGACTTGGGTGTGGCAAGTGTGGGGACAGTCTGGAGAGATTGAGAAAAACAGAGCTTCTTTGATCAGTCTGTCAAATCCGTGTTTATTAAGCACCTACTGTGTGTCAAGCACTGGACAGATGCTAGGAGTGTAACCGTAAACAAAATGATGTGGTGTCCACCCTCCTGAAAGTTAGAGTCATGATGAGTATTATGGGAAGGTGTAACCTGCAGGTCTGGTTTGGGGACCAGATTTGGAGTACTCAGGGAAGGCTTCCTGGAGGAAGTAACATTTACTGACGCTGAAAGCGGAAGGACGAGTCTGAGTTGGCTGACCAGGAGGGTTCCAGGTAGGGGAACAGCCCATACAAAGGCATAGAGGCAGGGGTGTCACATGGCATGTCACATGGCATCTAAGGAGCTGCAAGATGGTCCCATGCAGATGGGGTCTGTGGACATTTGGCGAGTCCCCTGTTCTCTCTAGACTTCAGTCTCCTCAACTGTACAATGAAGTCAGAGTCTTGTCCACCCCCCGCCTCCCTCCAACCCCAGCTGTGAATCTGTGAAGGTTCGTGATGGAGGTGGGCCATCTGGGCAGGTCGTTCAGGGATGGAGAGGATGGAACAGTGTTACACAGCAGCCCAGAGTCAAGAATAAAGAGAGTGGGACTCCCTTGGTGGTTCAGCGGTTAAGACTCTCGCTCCCAATGTGGAGGGCCCAGGTTCAGCCCCTGGTCAGGGAACTGGATCCCACATCCTGCAACTAAGACACAGCACAGCCAAATAAACAAAAATAAATAAATACATTTTTTAGAAAGCACTCTTTAAAAAAATAAAACAAGCACTTTGGAAAGTTGAGTTAACTCTGGGTGATGCCACCAGGGGACCATTATGTGCTTGGGAAGCAGAAATATGCTGCCTTGACCTCAAGGACCCAGGGAGCTGAATGCAGCTGCCCAGCCCCCCTCCCCTCCCAGCTTACCCAGGAGGCTGACTCAACCCCTCATTCATCTTCTCATTCATCTTCAGCCTCACCCATCACCTTGTACTGCTCTGGGTTATTGTAGACATCCAGGAGATATTTATTGATTACAACATAACACTTTTTCCAGGAAATTTTATGTTAACTCACATAAGCTTGACATAAATGGTACTGCAGATGTCAGGAGTATCCAAGAGGCTAGAAAAAAATGAAAAAGGAATATTATATTTACTTGCTTAAGCTCCTCATTTTGGATTACCTCCTCATAACCTCTTGTCATTTTAAAGGCAGCAGGGAAGGAAGTTGGCATTTAAAGTGAGCCTGCTTTCTGCCGGGAATTCTTAACGGGGCTCTGATGCTTTCAGTTCTTTTTCCTCTCCACCATGGTCCTGCATCATGGAGAGTATCATCAGCATTGGAAAAGACCACCGTTGTTTTTTCTCGCCTGAATGTCCATATCAGGGGAGGCAGTTGTGGCCTCGTGAAAGCTTTCTGCGAGGTGCAGGGCAGTGCGGGGCAGACGGTCAGGACCTGATTGCTCCTGCAGTCTGGCCCTCTGCTGTGCTAGGTTCCATGCTGCTCCGTGACTCGCAGCAAGGAAGAGTGCAGATCATTGAAAGCTTACCAGTACAGGCTCTTGGGGTCTGTAGCCTGGAGGTTCTGACCCAAGAAGTCTAGAGTGAAGCCTTGGAACTGAATTAAAAAAAAAAAAAATAGAAGAGCACCAGGTAATTCTAATATGCCACAAAACTTGACAGGCAAGAGCTTGAGTCAGTCTCTCAGTTATGAAAATCAAGAAAGTAAACTCTTGGGAGTTTTCTGGCACTCCAGTGGTTAAGACTCTATGCTTCCAATGCAGGGGCTGCAGGTTCCATCCCTGGTTGGGGAACTAAGATCCTGCTTGCTGCGCGGCAAGTGTTACTTCAAGCATTTCCATACACTGTTAGCTTGATTGTAATTTTTAAAAAAGAAAAAGGAAATAAACTCTTAAACTATAATTGACTCCCATGATCGTGCTTCCAGTTCTAGACTCTTGTACATAAGATGGCACAGTTTAAACATCGCAGAGCAGGTTTTGGAGGGTCTCCCTGAAAAGACCCTTCTCCTTCATGGGAACACAGTTCTTAGTAATGTCAGGCTTCCAGGGAGAGAGGGGCTAGTCCTTACTCTGTTTGAAAAATAATGGGGAAAGAAAAAGGAATCTTTCTGTGCCAAGCATTGTGCTGATTCTCACCAGTGTATTTTAAGGAGGCTGTTTTCTACAGAGAAACGTAACTAATCAAAGGTTACATCTTGGGCGCGTCACCTCCCTCTCCAGGGTTTCGTATTCTCAGAAGGAAACTTGTATTCTGTCATTCATCCACCCACCTGGCCACCCATCCAGAAAAATTTCCCTGATGCCTGGGATGACAAACCCCTTTCATCTTAAGAGCGTTGAGAAGGATTCTGAGGTCACGTCTCAACTCAGTGGCACAGAGTCCAGTTCATTAGTGACATCTGTTACGACCATGGCAGGGACAGAGGCTGCATTTGGGCCATTTATCTACCATTTCTGACCTCCCTGGCTGCCTGGGGGGGATAACTTGGCTCTTACCCATGCTGTCCAAAAACACAGCTGAAATGCTAAGGGTGACGTGGTTGGTGGGGGTCACCCTCATGCGCTGTTCTTGCCCCCTCAGGTCCGCCAGCGGTTTGAACTGGAGATTGAACGGATGAAGCAAATGCATCAGAAGGACCGTGAGGACAAGGAGGAGGAGCTGGAGGACGTCCGCCAGTCCTGCCAGAAGCGGGTACGTGAGCCGTGAGCACAGCTGTGCCCTGGGGTCCCGGCAGGTCCAGTCCGGGTGCCTCATCTTTAGAACAAGGGGAGTTCGGGAGCTGGGATGAGCTTAGCTTCCTCAGGAAGTGCTTTCGAGGGTGCTGGAGCAGAAGTACCTGTCCTAATAACTACAATTCTGGGGCTTCCAGAAGCCTCTGAACTGTCCAGCATAATCACTCTAGACTTCTACCAAGAGCCCAGAGTGCCATGTGGCTGATGCCCTGGATAAGGATGTATATGTGTCAAGAAGGGGACCAGTCCCTTCTGGCTTGTTTGCCTTGCAAATTGTTCCTTACATTTTTATCCAAGCTCTTTGCAGACATTTCAAACAGTGTATAAGAAGGCAGCAAGCGCTTGAAATCTTAAGACATCATCATTATTACTATTTTAAATGTTCTTTCTTTCTCTGTGCCTGCACGAGCATGTGTACAGAGATACCATTTTACCTAAATGGGGTCGTGCTGCTTTGAAGCCTGCTGTTTTCCCTCTGAAGTTTGTTCTGGGCCTCCTCTCCTGTCAGTACATGCGGACCTAATTTACATGTTTACGGGCTTGAAAGTATTCCACCAAAGGCCTGTGCTCTTGTTTACTCAACAAGCAAGTCTCTTATCATTGGACATCTAGGATTTTCTGATTTTCTGTTATTATAACCAACACTAAGACAAACCTCCTTATGGATGCACTTACTGATGTGAATTATAAGGTGAATCTTTAAAACGGGATTGCTGAGGAACTTTGGGTTAAGCCTCTCTGAACAGGCTTTCTCTGGGCAGGACTTCTGTAGTCCCTTCATAGCCTGGGTACATTGCGCATCTCCCAGAAGGGGCCGAGTACCATTTCCCATAGTCGACTCTTGATATTAGCTCCCTAAACAACGTCTCTGCAGAGACCTCCAACTCCAGGGGCTGAGAGCGTGGGTGCTGGAACTCATCGACTCTTGGTATGAATGTTTACCTTTCCAATGCAACAACAGTATGATCCTGGGAAGGTGATCATAAACCCTCCGCTCCACCCAAACTCCATGCCCTTCCTGAACTGCTTTCTCCATATCCACCATTGGTCACTCGGAGCCAGTTTATAAGACACACAGGAAAGCTGATGTTGCTAGTTTATTTGCAGTCATAGAGGCTTGGATCGAATTCAGACTCCGTTAGCTATCAAATGTGGGGCATGGGAGAAATCACATAACCTTGCTGATAAGCCTCACTTCTCTCATCTGTGAAATAGGATAACAGTGGCCACCTTGCAGGGTCATGGGGAAAAGTCAAGAGATCACAGGTGTGGAACCATGGCTCAGAGTTTGTAATGTCCTCATCCTTTGCTGGAAACTTAACAAGCAGTACTGGTGTGTGTGTGGATTTCCAGGCAGCCGATCCTTCCCAGAGGCACCTGGGAACCAGCCCCCTGGCTGACTTGCTTTTGGGCATGCCTGCTCCATCCCAGGAGAAGGCGGGTGCAGGGACTTGACGTCCTGTAGAGTCCCCTCCTCCCCCGCTGCACTCTCTATCTCCTGCCAGAGGAGCGTCATCCTGGGCAGGGCTGGAGGAGGCCGTGGTGGCGTCAGGACCCTGGCGGGAGATGGGTCTCTCGTCTGGGCTGATGGGGCTGCCTCGGTACACCGTCACTGCTCGGGGTGGTGGGGGTGGGGGCGGGCTGTAAGAACCGAGCCGTTCTTCACTCCCAGTGGTTGATGCTGCTGCATCTGCTGCCCGGCCTGCTCCCCAAATACTCCTTTTGGGGCTCCTTTACAGTTGAGCCCCTCTGGGTGTTCACACAGATCTTCCCAAGGGGCCAAGTACATTCTCCCCAGAACTTCCTGGAGTTGAAAAAGTCATAGATTTTAGGTTCATTCAGACCTGTGTGCCCTTGAGTAAGTCTCCTAACTTCCCTAAGACTCAGTTTTCTCATCTGTGAAATGGGAGCAAGAAGAAAAAATGATTTCCTTCCCCTATGCTATTGTGAGAATAAGATCAAAGAATGGTAGGTGCCTTATAAATTGCAAAGTGCTGAGAGTTTCCATGTAGAAATGTTCTACAGAATACTCTCTAGAAAACTGCCTCTCTTGACACATAGCCTTTATTATTTTGTACATTTTTCAAAAGGAGTTTCAGCTTCTGCAGTCTTCATTTTCAGCAGGTGTGAGCAGACTGCCTTGTGTCTCTCACTCTTAAAAGAAAGTCTTAAACTGTCTTCTGAAATGACCATCCATCAGGACTTTATTTTTTCTCTCCGTGGGTCAGGAGGTGGAAACCCAGTCCCTGCCCATGTGCCGTCAGGTGAAGGGAGTGCCTCAAACATGTTGTGAGTGCCCCGAGCCAGGACCCTGATGGGCTGGAGATGTGACCCAGACCTTCCTGAGGCTTCTTCATGGACAGATTTATAAAGGGGGGAGTGAGGTCAGAGAAAGGTGTGCCTCTCCTCTGACAGATACTAGCACTTGCCTGCACGCCCAGTGACCGCTCTGCTGGCTCTGTCTCTCCCCCTGGCAGGAAATCAATCATTAGTGACCTGGGTGGGAAAGCTGCTGACTGTCTGGTGGTGGCGGAGGAGCCCGGGCCAGCAGACGGAATGCTGACAGTTAGCAGCAGCTGACCTAGGAGTCTCTGCTTCAGGACCTCTGACTCGGTTTGCCCATCCGTGAGGGAAGTCCATTGATGGCACAGGATGGAGCAGGAGGAAGGGGTGAGGCCGGTGCAGAAGAGGGGTGCACAGCACGGTTACCGTGGGGCGTCCGCTTTAGCAGGGAGCGCCTGCCTCTGCTGAGAAATCAGAGCCGATTGTAAATTAGAGGAGCCGCTCGGAGCCATAGTCTTAGTCAGCTTGGGCTACTCCAGCAAAGCTGGGCGTGGAGAGCGGGGCTTAAAGAGCAGAGGTTTATTTCCCATAGTTCTGGAGACTGGAATGTCCCAAGATCAAGGTGCTGGCGGATCTGGTGTGGGACAAGGGCCCCACTCCCGACTTGCAAATAGACGGCTGCCTTCTCACTGTGTCCTCTGTAGGGAAGAGAGAGGAAATGAGGTTCTTTTTTGTAAGGGCACTAATTCCAGCATGGGGGCTCCTCCCACCTGCCAACCTCATCTAACCCTAACCATCTCCCAAAGGCCTCGTCATCAAATATTCTTGCCTTTCGAGTTAGGATATCAACGTTAGGAATTTTGGAGAGACAGACTTGCAGTCCAGACACCAAATAATCTCAAATGCAACTTTTGCTGCGTTATAGTTCCCACACCTGCCAAGCAGGAGACACAGGTTCAACCCCTGGGTCAGGAAGATCTCCTGGAGGAGGGCATAGCAACCTACTCCAGTAATCTCGCCTGGAAAACAAAGGAGCCTGGTGGACTATGGTCCATGGGGTTGCAAAGAGTCAGACACGACCTAGTGACTGAACAGCAACAGGTGTATTTAATACGAGAGATGAATGCATCTTAACGTGTAGGATATGATGCTGTACAGTCTTAAGAAGTCCATGCGCCCAGACTTGTACCTGTCCTAGTGAGACCACGGCAGAGGAAGGAGACAGCTGTTAGGAAATGGGCAGGGGACTGGGGCTGGGGATTTCACAGTGAATGCCAGGGGGCTCCCCATAACGGTCCAGCTCCGGAGCTCTTAGGCTTCCGAATTCTCCGGCAGAAATACCTCCTCCCCCCGCCCAAGCTGCTAGGTCAGCCTTTGTGGAACCGGGCGAGCGGCCATGCACTCCGCACCCCCAGCCCCGTCTTCCGGAGGACCCTGGCCTTGGGGGGTTTGTCCAGATGGAGCACTCGTGTCCCATGCCCGCGTCTGCCCTCTGTGCCCGCAGCTCCGCCAACTGGAAATGCAGCTGGAGCAGGAGTATGAGGAGAAGCAGGTGGCCCTCCACGAGAAGCAGGACCTGGAAGGCTTGATCGGAACCCTCTGCGACCAGGTAGGGGGGGAGCCGCAGCAGGCAGTCGGGAGAGCACAGTCCCTGCCCCAGCCGGTTGAGAGCTGATTCCTGGGGAGGCCGGCGGGGAGCGGGGGTCTTAGGACCCGGCTGGGGCTAGACCTGTCAGCTGGCCTCCACCTGCTCCTCCCAGGCGCCCTCTGCTCCACCAGTCTGTCTGTCCTCACTCACCGCCGCTTCAGAGGGGACCTTCTGTGTGTGTGTGGGCAGTGGGGGGGGTGGTCTTCACACAGCAGGGTTCTTGGAAGAACCCCTGAGAATACAGAGAGTGGGTCTGGCCACAAGTGCCAGACCCGGTGGCCTTGCCTTCAGCCACTGCCGGGGTGAGTGTGTAGACGGCCTTCGCTTTGGTGGGGTGACTGTGAACGGCCGCTGTGCTCATAGCTGCCCTCGTGAGAACCGGACTTTTGCTGGCCACAGAGTCAGGCCAGCGGGGCTGGGCTGCTCCTGTCTGCACAGCGCTGGGTGATCTGTTGAGGCTCCCTGAGCTCCTGATGAGCAGAGCCTGGTGGGCTGCCGCCCTCGCCGGAGACCAGGGCACTTGGCGCAGCACCGCCGGCCTGCCAGAGACCAGGGCACTCGGGGCAGCGCTGCCGGCCTGACTTTGGGAGCAGCATCGCTCCTTGTTGTCGATGTGGGGGAGGGAGGCGAGGGGACTGTCTCATGTGTTGCAGCCTGTTGAGCAGCACCCCTGGCCTCCACCTCCTAAAGGCCAGAAGCACGCCCCTCGGCCATGACAACCAGCAGCGTCTCCGGCCACAACCAAGTGTCCCTCCAGGACAGTCAGCCTCTCCCTTTACAGAGAAGCACCCCTGTAGAGAAAGCAGTGAGCAGAGCCAGTGCCGGCTGTCGGAGCTGGGGGACTGCTCCTCCATCCCCGGGATGTTCCTTTCCCCACCAGTGCTCCTGTCCCATGAGCCCCAGCATTGGAGAGAAATGCCAGCAGCTCCTATGATTTTCCTTTAAAATATCATTGGAATGTTTTTTTTAATGTATCTGCTTAATGTGTTCATTGTTTTTTAATTAGTGACGATCTTGCTGTCAGTATCACCAGCCCCACCCCAGTCTTTCCTCTTGTTCGCAGAGAGCGGCGGGTCCCCTGCCAGTAGTCAGCCAGGCCTCGAACAAATAGGTGCTCACTATGTTGTTGTTGTTGTTTTTAATTGAGTAAATGAGTGAATTCTAGAGCGGGGCCACCGCCGACATGAGAGTGAGAGCCAGAACCGGAGGGCATCAAGGGGAGGACCATATATTCTTTCTTCTCTGGGTTTTCTGAATTTTCAGCTAAGCAAACTGGGGCCACTGAGTGCACAGCCATTGAGGCTCTGCCCCCTTTTGGCTTCCGTGCAAGAAAGCACACCCCAGTATTTGATTCTGGAATGACAGAAATCCCTGCGAGAGGACTTCCCTGGTGGTCCAGTGGGTAAGATGCCATGCTCCAAATGCAAGGGGCCAGGGAACTAGAGTCCACATGCCACAGCTAAGAGCCCGAATGCCACAATTAACAGTTCTGTGCATGGTGCAGCCAAATAAATAAAAATAAATATTAAGAAAATCACTGGGAAAAGGTCACCTTCTGTCCAGCATGGTCCATTTGAGAAAACAAAGGCATTAATCCAGTAAAGAAAAGTTTTTATAAATATTGCTAAAGTCTGAAATTTTACATGCAGAGAGAAGATAACTTGAGTGAATGAAATGCTAATTCTGTGTGAGTCACCACGCTGGAGCCTTTGAATAACTTACCACATTAAATACTTGTAAGTGTTTCAGCGAGACACAGAGAGTGGGACAGACAGTGTAATTGATGTCTGTGCACCAGAAGGACAGGGTTCACATAAATTAACATTCTGCTTCATGGGGTTCAGATGTTTTTTAAGTAAGCAGCACATTTCCCAAACAGTTGGTGGCCCCTTGGTTTCTATTCCTCGTCTCCCGTGTCTCTACCCGTCTGTCTTTTCTTCCTTCCCTCCCACAGGGGACTGCTTTCCTGAGGTCGGGGACCATAATCCCCCTGCCCTTATTTTGTCCCCCGCTGTGCTATGTTTTTCAGAGTCCTCCATGCTAGCACATGTAGCTCTAATCCATCGTTTTACACTGCCTCACAGTGTTCGTTTTCTTTCACCCCTGTTTTTCTATTGGTGGATATTTACATGTCTCCCAGCGGTGAAGAGCTTCTCCAGGGTATGAAGCTAGAGAAGGAATTGCTGGCTGTGAGGAATGTACCATTTTGAGATGATCAGATGTTGCCCATGTTGTTCCTCAAAGTGATAGCGGCAGTTTATGTTGTCACCAGCAATTTCTATAAATATATTTAAATTAATTAGTTGATGTATTTAATTTCTGGTTGTGATGGGTCTTTGTTGGCTACGTGCGGCATCTCTCTAGATGCAGTGAACGGGGGCTACTTTTCATTGTGGTGGATGGACTTCTCCTCAAGTCTTCTCATTGGCAGTTGGATTCTTAACCACTGGACTAGAAGTCCATCATCAGCAGTTTTTTCTTTCTCCCCCACGACCCGCCAGCACATGGCACTGTCAGACATTTGAAAATCTTTACCAGTTACTAAGTGTTAAATTGTACTGCTTATCCCTCTTTACTAGTGAAATTCTGCATTTTTCATATTTATTATAAAATTTTCTCTTTATGTGAGTTACCTGTATATAGTGTTTCAGTTCAGTTCAGTCACTCAGTCATGTTCGACTCTTTGCAACCCCATGGACTGCAGCATGCCAGACTTCCCTGTCCATCACCAACTCCTAGAGCATGCTCAAATTCATCTTTGTTGAGTCGGTGATGCCATCCAACCATCTCATCCTTTGTCATCCCCTTCTCCTCCCTCCTTCAATCTTTCCCAGCATCAGAGTCTTTTCCACTGAGTCAGTTTTTTGAATCAAGTGGCCAAAGTATTGGAGTTTCAGCTTCAGCCTCAGTCCTTCCAATTAATTTTCAGGACTGATTTCCTTTAGGATGGACTAGTTGTATCTCCTTGAAGTCCAAGGGACTCTCAAGAGTCTTCTCCAACACCACAGTTCAAAAACATCAATTCTTTGGTGCTCAGCTTTCTTTTTGGTTCAACTCTCACATCCATACATGGTTACTGAAAAAGTCATAGCTTTAACTAGAAGGACCTTGTTGGCAACATAATGTCTCTGCTTTTTAATATGCTGTCTAGGTTGGTCATAGCTTTTCTTCCAAGGAGCAAGGGTCTTTTAATTTCACGGCTGTAATCACCATCTGCAGTGATTTTGGAGCCCAAGAAAATAAAGTCTCTCACTGTTTCCATTGTTTCCCCATGTATTTGCCATGAAGTGACGGGACCAGATGCCATGGTCTTTGTTTTTTGAGTTTTAAGCCAGTTTTTTCACTCTCCTCCTTCACTTTCCTCAAGAGACTCTTTAGTTCCTCTTCACTTTCTGCCATAAGGGTTGTATCATTTGTATATCTGAGGTTATTGATATTTCTCCCGGCAATCTTGATTCCAGCTAGTGCTACATCCAGCCCAGCATTTCACATAATATACCCTGCATTTAAGTTAAATAAGCAGAGTAACGATATACAACCTTGACATACTCCTTTCCCAATTTAGAACCAGTCTGTTGTTCTATGTCCAGTTCTAGCTGTTGCTTCTTGACCTGCATACACATTTCTCAAGAGGCAGGTCAGGTGGTCTGGTATTCCCATCTCTTGAAGAATTTTCCACAGTTTGTTGTGATCCACACAGTCAAAGGCTTTGGCATAGTCAATAAAGCAGAAGTAGATGTTTTTCTGGAACTCTCTCACTTTTTCAATGATCCAACTGATGTTGGCAATTTGATCTCTGGTTCCTCTGCCTTTTCTAAATCCAACTTGAACATCTGGAAGTTCTAGGTTCATGTACTGTTGAAGCCTGGCTTGGAGAATTTTGACCATTACTTTGCTAGCGTGTGAGATGAGTGCAATTGTGTGATAGTTTGAGAATTCTTCGGCATTGCCTTTCTTTGGGATTGGAATGAAAACTGACATTTTCCAGTCCCGTGGCCATTGCTGAGTTTTCCAAATTTTCTGGCATATTGAGTATAGCCCTTTCACAGCATCATCTTTCAGGATTTGAAATAGCTCAACTGGAATTCCATCACCTCCACTACCTTTGTTCATAGTGATGCTTCCTAAGGCCCACTTGACTTCACATTCCAGGATGTCTGGCTCTAGGTGAGTGATCACACCGTCGTGGTTACCTGGTTCATTAAGACCTTTTTTGTATAGTTCTGTGTATTCTTGCCACCTCTTCTTAGTATCTTCTGCTTCTGTTAGGTCCATACCATTTCTGTCCTTTATTTTGCCTGTAAAATGTTTGGTCTTCCTCTTTTTTCTATTCATTATTCATGACCCTTATCCAACTTTTGGTTGTATATTTTGGAAGGAGCTCCTACTCTGTGGATGAGCATTTCATTTGCTTATAATGTTTTAGAGGCTTCCCTAAGGGCTCAGTGGTAAAGAATGTGCCCATCAATGCAGGAGATAGAGGTCCTATCCCTGGGTCGGGAAGATCCCTTGGAGGAGGAAATGGAAACCTACTCCAGTATTCCTGCCTGGAGAACCCCATGGACAGAGGAGCCTGGCAGGCTATAGTCCATAGGGTCGCCAGAGTCAGATACTCGTTAGCAGCTAAACAACAACTACATAATGTTTTTTACTTAATAAAGTGTTTTTTAAATAGTATTATTAGCCGGTTATTGTCGATGCTTTTAAGATTTCTTTCCTTACCCGAGTTCATAAGGATAATTCACCATATTTCTGAAAAGTTCTAAAGTTTTGGGCACTTTTAAGTCTTTAATCCACCTAGCTTTTATTTTGGTATGTGTGAGGTAGGAATCTATTTTTTCCTGATATAAATCACTTTTGTTTTATTTCATGAGTGATTTTTTTTTACAATTTTTATTTATGTATGCCTGTGTTTGGGGGCAATCCATTCTGTTTAATTGGTTTATTTGTCAGTTCTTGCATCATGTGGTCTTAATGGCTGGGTCTGATAACTTGTAAACAGCTCATCTCTATAATTCTCTTATCTATTTGTGATCCTTTAATCTTCTTATTGAGATTGTATAGCATACCCTGATGGGATTTTCAAATGCATTGGTTTGCAAATTAGTTGGGAACCAGTGACATAGTTTTTTTTTTTTTTTAAATAGTGAACCATTGCAATCATAAGCATGCTATATCTCTTCATATATCTGTGGCTTTCATAAATATTTTACTTCTTATTATAAATTAATAATTTATAATAAATAAATAACCTTCTAGTATGTATTTTATTTTCATCTGTAGAAGTCCTGAGCTTCTTTGTTAGATTTATTTCTAGGAATCTTGTAGTTTCTATGGCTATTATGAGTCGAATGTTTTTCTGTACTTTGATTAATTATAATGGTAAATGGGAATATACTTCGCTTATAACTGTATAGTAGTTTTCTCTTTCTATATTTTGAGGTTATGTTTTTCAGTGCATCTAAGTTTATTTTATTGCTTTATTTCCTTGGCACATTGTAGGTTGTTCCTTTATGGTGTTCCTCTTTTCTCCATGAATTACTTTTGCCTTATTTTATTTTGCTTGATTTCTTTTAGTTTATCTGCAAGATCTTTTTTTCTTTTTTATCCTTTTGTTGTTAACCTTTCCGTGTGTGTGTGAACCTTAAAGAGCTGGATACTGTTTAACAATATCTCGTAGTACTTTAATCTGTAGCTTTTCATTGGAGAATTTAATTCATTTATATTTATGTAATAATCAATGCATTTGAAATTATTTCTGTTTTTTTGTGTATAGTTTTGTTGGTTTATTATTCCTTTTCTTTGCTTGTTCCTTTTTCCCTTTCCTGCTTTGGGATAGATCGATAATGTTTTCTATGATCCCTTTTATTCCATTGCTGGGTCTAAAACTACAAACCATATTTCTATTCCTTTGGTAGTTACCCATACATTTTTAGGTAAGTCCATAATTTTTTTCTGACATACTTTAATTTTCACAGCAAGTCTGTAGAATAGATACTCTTTGTTCCTTTATGTAAATGAAACAAGTAAGGCTCAAAAGGAAAGCCCATTGCCCAAGATCAATAGCTTATCAGTGGTGTAGCTGCATTCAAAGCAAGATCTATATTATTTGAAAACCTTTTTTTTAGAAAAATCTAACACCATGCTGCTTGAAAAATGATTAAGTTTCAGCTAACTAGAATTATCTTTTTTGAACCGTCTTTTTTCATAATGTTATCAAGCAATCTAGATCTGCCATTAATTTGCTATAAAACCTTCAGCTACATACATTCTCTCTCCAAGCCTCAATTTTCCTGTCTGTAAAGTGGCTTGATTGTCCCTAATATTTAGATCATTTGTTAAAAGTGCTTAGAGAGTTCTTTGTCAACAGATATTGAACAGATTCCCCTAACAGCTTTATGATAAACGGTGAGACTATCGAGGTTGGAATAGAATTTCCCACAACAACACTGAACATCATTTAGATTTATTGGTTAATTATTCACTGGCTTTATCTAAATTTGAATCTGTGTGCTACAAAATGTAAACTTGCAGAATGACATTTATTTCCCATTAACCTAATGAGTTTGGGGCTTTTTTTTTTTCTCCTCCTCTAGTGTAGCAATTTATCATGAAGAGGAGGATGACTTGGTCTGAGGTTTTGTTGTGAATTTTGTTTGCAATGATCCCTCTGGAATGGAGATGGTGCCAGCATTTTCAGTCTTTTTGGCAGTGAGAATGGAGTCACCCGGAATGTCCCTGGTACCGACCTGCCCCACAGGAGAATGAAAAGCACTTTAGGATGCGTGCAGAGCAAGGGCAGATGCAAAAATGAGAAAGGTGCAAAAGCATGCTGGCTGAGCGTAATCACGGCCAAGAATCCGGGCTCTGGAGTTAGTAAGTCCAGGGTCTGGTGTAACCAGGCGCGGTGGGTAGAGACTTGAATTCTAATGATGGACTGCCTGGGCTCCGATCCCCGGTGGACACTGAGGAGCAATGTGACCTTGGGCTGATGGGCTGCGCCTCCATCTCCCTGTGACAGTATCCACTGAAGTGCCCCACACACCTCATGAGGCGTGAGCGGGCCCAAGAGCGCCTCTCTCATCCTGTCACCTGCCCTGTCTGTGCTTTCTGCCCTCATGCTCATCCCCCAGCACGGCACATTCAGGACCGTTTCTCAGCTGCGTCCTTCCTGTACCTCAGCTCACCAGCTCCTGCTTACCTGAGACTCTGTCTAATCCCATGCCAGCCTGAGCTGGGCTACTCCTCTGCACCTCCGTAACACCCTTAAAAAAAAAAAGAGCAACACATAACCTCTCTCTTTGTGTGTTTTACTAAAATTACCTCTTTGCAGTCAGTAAGACTGGGTTCATATCCTAACTCTGCCACTTATGATCTTGGGCAAGTGACTTCACTTTTATTGTAAACCTCAGTTTCATCATCTGTAAAATGGGAATCATAGTACTTCACACCCCATAGATTCACCACATGGACTCTGTGTGTTCAGATGTGTTTAGAACAGTGCCTGACACTTAGCAAACCCTCTTAAGTATAAGCTATTGCTATTTTAATAAAGGCAAGAATAATAATGTCACTATAAAGAGACTATCATGGGAGTAAAATGTGGTAATATGTGACAAAGGGCCTGGAACAACGAATGCCCAGTCCTCAGCTGCTCGGCTCTATATATCAGCATTTTAAACTTAACAAAGCAATGTATCTGAGAACTAAGAGGCTGTATTCTAAGAATCAACTCATTTTTCAAAGAATTCAAAACTGGTGGTAAAATAATAGTCATGTAAAGTCTAGAGGAATACATTCTAGGTCATCAGACAACACTCATAATCTTTGATATTTGTAAAGCGTTAGGCAGCGTACAAAGTACTTTTCGATTCATTATCATGTCTGATCCCTGTCTTATCTCAACAAGGAGGACAGAGGTTTTTTTTTTTTCTTTTTTTAATCTCTTCCTTTACAAATACTCAGGTTCAGAGAGGCAGCATGACTTGGCCTGAATTCCACGTCCAACAAGTGGTGAACCAGGGTTTCAAGCCTGGGCCACTTCATTCTAAATCTAAAATACCCTGGGGCATTTTAACATCCTAGGGATTGGCTGTACTTGGTGTGGAGGCACAGGTATCCAGGGGTGGAGAAACTGGGTCCCACGGAGGACGAACATACACCCCATTTTCTTTAAACACCCCCCAACAATGCTGCCATGTTCTTTCCTCTGGTCTCCTGCAGAGAACGGGGCTTTAGTTTCTTTCAGAGACATTAGCCCCAATGCTTTTGAAGTCACTGTTGTGTTTCTAGGGGAGACTGTGGGCTGTCGGAATTTCATCAGGCCCCTGTGTGTTTCTTCACCTCCCTTGGTTTGTCTCAGCCTGTGTTGTTGGCAACTGGGAGTTGTCAATGAATCTAATCTGCCCTCCTGGTGCAGAGTCCAGGCTGCGGCTTCTTCAGGGGCCACTTGAGTACTGGTCCTTTGGAGGACAGGATCCTGGGTGACAGAATGTGCTTGCCTCTGGGCAAGGTTCCTCTGCAGAAAATGGCCTTTTTCTTTTTCTTTTAATTTGTGTGACTTTATTTTTATTTTTTAAATATCTATTTATTTGGCTGTGCCAGATCTTCAGTCTTCATCATGGCATGTGGGATCTATTTCCCTGACCAGGGATCAAATCTGGGGTCTCTGCATTGGGAGCACAGAGTCTTAGCCACTGGACCTCCAGGGAAGTCCCTGGTCTGTCTTTATACTAGCAAAAGAGACCAGCTCGAGGGACAGAACTGCATCGTTTAGGCCTTGAAGAGCAGCACAGCTATTTCTAACACCATTTACTGATGTGTGACCTACACACACAGACGCACACCTCGCCCCACCTGTATAGAGCATGGAATTTTCATCAATTCATAAAGCCAGCACTCCGATTAGCGCCACTCATCACACTGCTAGCAGTGCCCCTCCTGTATTGCCCAGTCTCTGCCCCTGGAGGGGGACTGCTGTCCTGGCTTCGGTCAGCAGAGGGTCTCACCTGACACGGTGGCTCTCACAAGGTGATGCTCTGGTTCACGTTATGAGCCAGGATGGCTTGGATCATCCCAGGGTGTGAAACAGTCATGACAGCGGCTCAGACCGTTGTGCCTTTGCTGTGAGTCGTGCCCTGGACCAAGCACCTGATTTCCAGCGGCGCTGTGTGGCCCCTGCCGCTGCTGCTTCACAGGCGAGAAGGCTGAGGCCTGCGAAGGAGAGAGGCCTTGTCCACGGTCCACAGTATGAGTGGTGGAGGCAGGTTCTGAACCCAGGGAGCCTGTTTCCAGGGAACCTGGACCGTGGCCACTGCTTTGCCATCTCAGCTCACAGGAGCCTTCCCTTGGCTTCCAGATCGGCCATCGGGACTTTGACGTGGAGAAGCGTCTTCGGAGGGACCTCAGGAGGACTCACGCGCTGCTGTCAGACGTGCAGCTCCTGCTGGGGACCATGGAGGACGGCAAGACGTCGGTCAGCAAGGAGGAGCTGGAGAAGGTGCAGAGCCAGGTGGGCGTCATGGGCCTCTCAGAGCTGGGTGGGGAGGGCACTGCAGCCAGCAAGGGGACAGACAGTGTGGGCACTGCCCAGATGTGGACATGGACACAGCCCTGACCTCTGACTTTCACAGACCTGTGGAGAGGTGGGGGGCATGGGAGGGTGGGGGGGCCATGGAGATGTGATACATGAGGACCGGGGTTTATAAATGACTGGGGAGCCTGTTCCCTTCTTTGTGGCTGAAGCAAATGAGTTTTGAGGCCTTGGACAGATCAGGACCCTGGGGCGGAATGGCGAGTATAGCACATCTTTGTGCCTGTGTGTGTGTGTGTGTGTGTGTGTGTGTGTGTGTGTGTGTCTGCCTGCATGTGCGCATGCGTGGTGACCAGCAGAGCTGAGTATGAAACAGATAGTGCTGATAATGGAAATCCTATGTGAGTATCATCACCTCCATTCACAAGCGAGGGGACAGGGTGGCAGGGGGGGAAGTGACCCACTGAGTCACAGCTAGACATTGCAGAGTCAGGATTTAAACCCAGGTTTCCAGACCCCACCGTCCCTGGCTCCCTAAGAGGAGAACTGGAGGTGGATGGGAGGCGAGGCCAAGAGGGAGCCGACCACCTCAGGAGACGTGATGGGCGTGGACTGTCCTCAAAGTTAGCGCTGGAAGTCCCATGTCCTGGGCAAGCCCTCAGTCCCAGAGAAACCCGGACGGTTGGTCAGTCATTTTCTTCACAGCTATGGCAGAACATTAGAATCACCTGTGCTTGAATGTGTCCTCTCTCGATCCTGGTGGTATCCCTGGGGGAGGCAAGTGGTACTGTGCCCATTTTACAGATGGGAAGGTTCTGTCTGGAGGTGCGAAGCAGTGTACCCAAGGTAACAGCAGGAGGGTGGCAGGGTTGGAATTAAAATCCAGGGCTCATGAGTCCACATGCAGAATCTGGGAGCTCTTTTGCCTCACCCTGCCTATTCCTGTCTGTGTGAGTGACCAGGCGGATGGAGGACCTGAGCCACCTCTGTCAGGCAGGCAGGATGTCCGAGCACTCAGCCATCTCTCAGGCATCTCAGGTTCATGCAGCCCCCTTTGGCAGGGGGCCCTGTGTCCAGCCCATCTTCCATCAAAATATTCCTGATGCCATCCAGCCCCCCTCACCCCAGAGGTGAATGTTCTTGAAAAGGAACTGCGGTGGTTTCTTCTCCTTTTCTGTTTTTCTTTTTTTTTAAAGTATTTATGAGAAATCTCCCTCTGCAGGGTTAAAACATGTGTTCTTGGAAAATAGTGGTATTTAATGAAGGCGCCTTGCGCTGAATCAAAGAGCTTCATTCTTCTGCAAGTCCTTCTTCCCCGTCTCTGCATCCGGCTCCTATCAAAGGGAATTCACAGCCTTGGCTTTCTGTGGCCGTTGTCATGGAAATCGTTATAAGGATGGGATCGCGTGGACCAGAGGTCAGGGTACAGTTGCTTTGGCTCCCAGCACACGTGTCCCGGATGCCGGAGTCAGAGCTAATCAAATAAAGCAGCGATGACATTGGGCACTGCTGGCCCTCCTCTCCCGGGTACGGGAGTTGTCCTTTACCTGAAGGCTCCGGGGACAGAGGCAGGGAGCACAGGCAGGAGGGGGAGGAGAGAACTACGTTTGCTGCATCTTCAGTGCTGGGGGTGGTGCTGAACTGTTCCACTCATCCCTTCATTCAGTATTTATGCAGCGTCCACCGAATGCCCAGCGACGTGCTAGATCTAAGTGTATTACGGTTAGCAAGAGAGGCGCGGCCCTCTCCTCCTGCAACTGACGTCTGATGGGAAAGAGGACAGCAAACAATGAAGCAAAGAAACAGAAACATCCCGCACCTTAATTCAGGTAGTAAAGGAAACAGGCGGAGTTACTATCAATAATAAAGTGAATAGGGAATTGCGCAAGGTCTCCTTTAGCTTGGATGGGTCAGCTCGACTCCTGTGGGAGAAGGAGAAGCAGTCAGCGGCCATAATGTGCGGGGCCTGAAAGGTTTGGATTTTATTCCAGTGGTGATGAGAGGCCGTAGGGGCATCCTGAGCGGGGCGTGACACAGTCTGATTCACGCCTCTGTGTGGGGAGTGGATCGAGGAGGGCTGACTGGGTGCTGTTAGGCTGGTGTACCACTCTGGGCTGGAGGAAATGGTCCCTGGGGGTAAATGGAGACAGCAAAAGGAGGCAGATTGGGGGCTAGTTTGAAGCTGATGGGACTGGTGGGGCAGGTGGCAACAAGAAGTGTATTGATTTAGATCATCCTCACCAGAACCCTGGGAGGTGGCAGTTTCTGTTTTTGAGCCATTTTACTAACTAGGAAACAGGCTCTGAGAGGTCGAGTGACTTACTCAAGGGCACACAGCAATCTGTGTCTTCGTGCTGCCAGTTCTATACCATGATGTTAACATTTTTCTAGCACCTACCACATGTCAGGCTTTTCCTTGCAATTTCAGAGTCCCCAGACTTGGCTGCACATCAGATAACAAGCATTGTTTAAAAATCAGATTTCTAGATTCCCCCCTCCTCTTTTCCCTTTGTTGAGACCCAGGATCTGCATTTATAACAGTCATATTGAGGGAATTTCGATGCTGGTCTTAGGACCACCATTTGGGAAACATGGGCCTTGTTTATACCTCAAAACCCCCTTTCCAGTTCCATGGCATGGGCCCATTTTGCAGATGAGAAGACTGATGGTGAGATTGTATTAGTGTGACATAGCCTAGTTCAACCAATTTTAGAGTTCGTTAAATAGAGTAAGGGGAAGTGGATCCAGCACTTGCTAGTTTTGTGATCTTCACCGTGTGCCAAGACTTCCGTGAGCCCTTCTCCTAAATCGGAGCATCGTCGTCACCTGGTGGCCCAGGCACATGTGCATGTGTGGTGGTGGGGGGCGGTGATGAGGTGCTGCCAGGAGAGGTTTGCAGAGTTTGAACACCCTCCAAAGCCCCTACAGCTCGCTGACCTTGGCGCCGGGTAACCTGGAGAAAGGTTTTCTCTCAGGGCAGAGACGAGGGAATGCGTTTGAAAGCACCTGTCAGCGAGCAAACTGTGCACATTCAGTGAGTCCTGATGCTGATGATTTGAGACCAGGCGGCAGGGATAAGGTAGTGCCCTTCTGGATAGGGGGCTCCCAGTCCAGGGAGAGGCCAGCCTCGGAGGAGACTGTTGCCAGCAGGATGACAAGATCTTTACTAGGGAAGTGTTGTTGTTGTTGTTTAGACACTAAGTCATGTCTGACTCTTCTGCGACCCCATGGATTGTAGCTCACCAGGGTCCACTGTCCATGGGATTCTCCAGGCAAGAATACAGAAGTAGGTTGCCATGCCCCACTCCAAGGGATCTTCCTGACCCAGGGATCGAACCCACATCTCCTGCATTGGCAGGGGGTTCTTTACCACTGAGCCACGAGGGAAGCCCCTGAGGAAGTGTTGGGGGGTTAGCTAATTTCGCTGTAGGAGAGAGGCTGATGGCTTCAGCTGTCTTAAAGATGGAAGTGACCGGCTGACTGAGTAAGGCGCATGTGGGTGTTCTGGCAGGAAGCACCAGAGCATCCAAGGGCAGAGGCAGGTGGAGAGATGAAGCATGCTCAGCTGTGCATTGTATCGCTGGTATATAGTGTTCCCCGAGGTAGGAGCGGAAAGGATAATGCCGCTCATTGAGGCTGCAGTCAGCCCATGAATGGTTTACTGAGCCTGGCTAAAGAGTTTGGGCCTTATCCCAAAGGTGACAGAGAGCTACAGAGCAGGCAAGAGTGAGGTCAGAAGTGCTTCTGAAAAACGGCAGGCTTCCAGGCCCAGCGGAAGCAGTGATGTGTGGCGCACCCTGCTCAGCCAGAGGCATGGGAAGGTCTTCTTGGAGTAGTGGTCCCCAACCTTGTTGGCACCAGGGACTGGTTTTGTGGAAGGTAGTTTTTCTAGGGACCAGGCTGGGATGGTTTCGTGATGACTCAAACGCGTTATATCTACCGTGCATTTATTTCTATTGTTTTTACATCAGCTCCACCTCAGATCATCAGGCATTAGATCCCAGAGGTTGAGGACCCCTGCCTTAGAGCATCTCCCAAAGCCCCTGGATTCTTCCCATGTGGACAGGCAGCCCCTCTGCCCCTTGCCCCTCCATCTAGAATCCTGAGAAAATTGTCTCTTTCTACCCAGTTTCCCTCCACTGGAAGACTTGGTGCTGCCTCAGTTAACACTTGAGGCTTAAGACACTGTGATGCACACCTCGTGAGTTCTAATCCCACCTCTGCTGTTTAACTAGTTACTTGTACGATTCTGAGTAAGTCACCCTGCCTTTCAGAGGCTCCTTGTTCTTACTGAAGAAAAACAGTCATGATATTCCCAGCTTCTGGGCTGGGAGAAAGCACCCTAGACCCTGGATTGGAAGGAATTCCCTAAACTGAAACCTGTCAGACAGTGATTTTTAAATGTAGGGATGCCCACTGGCTCCTACATCCCTCCGCCCTGAGCTGGCTGGTGGAAGACTTTGGATTCGGGCCGGGATTTTACACGACCTGGCGGAACAGGTAGACAAGGCAATGTGTGGGGCGGGTCTAATGACACATGTTCTTTAGGAGCAATTACTAATTAATTCCCAGGGAATGTTTCCACTGGAAACAAACTAATCTGGAGACAGAAGCAATCCCAGCCACCAAGATATATAATTGAGATAATCGCTGTGCATAAATAACATCTGTGAGCAGCAGATGCCGGCACCTGGCTCCGAGGAGGAAGTGGAGGACGCTGTCTGCTCCGGGCAGTAGCTGCCTTTTTTTTTTTTTTTAAAGTCATGCCTTTGACCTTTGCCTCCTCCCAAAAGGAAATATGTCATTTGCTTTTTTTTTGTTGTTAAATGGAAAAGAGTTTGCACCAAGCTTTTCAGTTGTTTACTTAATTCCTGCCGGGGGCTGTCTTCCCCCTTCCTGCTGAGGACAAAGCTGTCACCAGTCTCAGCCATTGGACCCCCTGAAGAGCTCTGGCACCCAGTCCCTGCCCACCTGCCCCC